TTTTGGTTGGAACATGATCGCAAGAAGAAAACCAGTAACGCAGTGAGATATGAAACAGTCATACGAGCGGCCTGTCAAAATAGCCCGGCGTAATCCACACAGACATTTCAATAGTGGCGGAGATTCGCTATAGAGAGCCAGTGAGATTTTCTGAATTCCTAGGGAAAACTCAGACTAGCTTGCGGTGTGATTCATTTCAGCAATAAAAATGTAACTTGAAAAAAAAACAGTGATGACCGTAATGGTGTTTGCACGCTCATCGTGGTTCGTGACAACGCTCAACTACGGCTGTTCTTATCAGACGCTGGCCGCTAATGCCAGCAATTCTTTTTTCTGTGGTCACACATTTCGTCAATAACAGCTCTTATCACTTCATCGCAAGTGATCGTAAGAATCGCAAACAACGGTTCAAGTCTTCGTATATAAGCGGATAGATCGGTAGAGATAGGGATCCGCGAGACTATTATTTTGCCACGCAGCCATGGTGAAATATATACACAGACGCATCATTTCTCCGAATAAGTTGATTTAATAAGTATGCGATAGATCGATTTTTCTAAGACGAAGTCGGCCGACATGGAGATGGTTTAACTTTTCCTATGCGCCTTGATTCATATGCGGGTAGTGATGGCCGGAGGACAAACTTAATAATCACGGATTTGTAGGGATTACTGAAATGGAAAAGAAGAGCAATTGTTGCCAGGGTCATCAGGTGATTCACGGTGCGCACGTTCGTGGTTTTTCCCCCCGTCCTATTGGTTACCTGTACATTAACAGGTTGTTCTTGTGCTGAGCGGTTTTGAGCGTAATCAGAGCGTGAGGAATCGTGATTGGATTAGGGTGAAGGGACGTGGGCAGATGACCAGGCTGCAATCCGAAGTCCAAAGCATGCAAAAGGAACAAAATGGAGCACAACGACCTTGTACCTACACGGTCTAGGAAATAAAGTACATGACACTGAGGGCTCTGACTTGAGTAACGAAAGCAGAACAAACGACCCAGCAAACCAGTCATTGATGAGGTAAATCGCGGGCGGTCGAGCAAACAGTGGAATTGGCAATGAAGACGTCCATATAAAGAAAAATCCCGTGACAACTGCAGCCGGATAATACAGTTGTGTTTGGTATAACCCTGGAGACCTATAGCTCGTAAAAAGTCAAAAAGTGTAAAGTGGAAAATAAGATTTGTGATGACCGTTTTTACAGATGATCTTTGCTTTAGTTTAGTCTTTGTCATTGTAATTGCTTGAAATTCTCCCTTGCGGCGCCGTGTACAGATAAATGTTGACGAAATTGAACCGCTAGAACAAGCTGAATATTTACAGCTCAAGCACCCGTGGGACTGGCTTTTTTGAAATAGGGTCAACTGCTACAAGCTTCTCCACCCCGTCGTTGGACCATTACAAGCAATATTTGTCTTCCAAAAACCACTAAGGATTCAGCGGAATGAATAATAAACATCAACCCAGCGTGGACAGACGGTCGTTAGGCCTCATTCCTAGGTGAAGCACCCTAAGCGTGAGGTTCTCTGTCATAGCTGTTTCCGTCCCCTGCAAGCCCTCTCTCAATGTTGTCGGCGCTTTAAGCTAATTGGACAAGAGGTACCAGCACTGTGCTGGGACGAGACTTCAGATAATACCAAAGGTACTGGATTATTTGGTATCCTTTTCCAGGGAGCATCGCCACATCGTTGACTGACGCTGTCCGTCGAGCATTACACCCATCGCCAACGTACAGCGACCGTGAATGTTACCTCGATCATGCCGTTCAGGCTCATTGATATGTTAAATAATTGTAATCGTTCTATCGGGGTTTATTGCATCAGCAACGTGTATGACTATGGCTCTCAATTAGAGGCGGGCCCGAGTGGCAGAACAGAGGGCGTATGATAAAGTAAACTAAAATACAACTTTACATACAACTTTACATTACAACTGAGGTCAGTTTACTTTTGGACTGTCAAGTAGACAAAAATTAAGGTTTAGTAGCTATATATTGGGAGTGATGAGGTCTTTAAGGTAGGGAGGTATGATACACAAGTCATGCTAGCTACGAGGGACTGAAGCACAGGTCACATCCATAAATAATAATAACCCCTGAATGCGACCATTAAGTGAATGGTGTGCGGTATCATATTGAGCACCGGCTAAGAAACTCTTCACTGTGAAGAAATGTCCACTATTAATCTTTCACACGAAGAATCCGTATGCGGCATTTGGTCGCTGATGCAGGATAAAAGTCTGACAGTGATGTCTGGTGTGTGCGTGTATGGAATAACTGAATGCTCCTGTCACTTAAAACGCCACAATTCGCAAGTGGCCAGCTCAGTGTAAACCCGACAACACAGAAAACTCCCATGATCGTCGAACATATGGCAGTCAAATACGGTTAAAGAAATAGCCAATACTTCAATTCAATAAGGGCAAAGCATGTCTGTGCTCAGCCTACAAACTAATGCAATTATTTTTCGGTCGTATGTTACCTCACATACACAGAGTTAATCGTATCAGATTCCACCGTTCTGCCGTGGACAGCTTTTTTTCATCCCGGTCGCCACGTTTTCTCCGAGAAACAGCAACTCACCGGTCGAAAAAAAAACGGTTATAATGTGACGGGCCTTTATCTACCTCTCTGTTCTCCGGGCACTGTTTGCACATATGCCACGGCTTCGTGTAACGGCACACACCACATTTCGCCAGGATCAGCATCCTCTTGATATCCAGGCAGAGGGACAAGATCGACCAGAAGCCGATATTGCAAGTTGGTAGCACTCTTGAGGGAGCTTCAATTAGTTGGCTGGTTAGTGCATGAGCACGTCCCAAGATCAGGCCTCTAATTGCCCTGCCATCGATGACTCGGGCTCACACCACGACCCAGCCAAGTACGAAAGAGATTTGTGACGTTGCTTCCTAATCGCCACTAAACTTGGACAGTGACTGTCAATGTCTCTTGCGTGCACCAACCATTATGCGAATTGTGTTTCAGTGCATTTTTGAAAACCTCCCATTGCTCAATCCCAAGTGTCATTTCTGGTGTTTAATTGAAGACGTGCCTAAATTACCAAATCTTTAATTTTGGTCACTATCCAGCGTCACTGAGATGTTGAACTAGATCAGCTGACGCCAGGCACTGTAGCTCCTGTTCTTTTGTTAAACCACGTCACTACATTGCCCTGGCGAATTCTGGAATTAAAGGCACAAAAGTGTCTGGAACCCAATCATGCAGTCGTTTCACGCAAGTAATTTGCATAATGCATAACCAGCGCTATCGCCTGGATTGTGTCAAGCAAGTTACATCATTGATTTGTATGTGAACAGATTTTGTCAGATCAATCACATGCTTTGAGAGCAGCCTTCTAGTCTGTCAGCACTAATATTTATGAAGTAAAAAGAATCATTCCGCTCACGATTTCTGTATTCATCAAGAAACCCTGCAGTTCTATTCTGGTATCATTTTGTTTTCAAATTGCCTCCAAACCGGCCACAAATTCAATTAATTCACAGCGCTGTACCACTCAGCCCTATTGGTGTTACCCTCTTCCGCAGACTGGACAGTCGTGATAGCATTCTACTGCACTCAATTACGCAATTTATATCACAGACATTTTTTTTTTGTTGTGAGACTGCGCACGGAACCGTTTCAGACAAGTCAAGGGCAATGGTATTCATTTTCCCGCCTTTTTGATCGAATCATTTGGGCAAGTTGCCGCTTGGAAGATAGGCGAAGGGGGAATAAGGAGTGGAGGTGACCTCATATAAAGACCCAAATGAGATTAGACCTGATGATATGCAGTTTTCTTCGGGCGAAATTCAAAGGAAAGAATGCTGTGCTCCAACAGGGAAAGAAAAATGGATACCAACACAGAGAAAGTCTGCTTCTGTTTAAATAACAAGAAGCGACACTGCGTTGAGGGCAAAAAGGGAAAGCTGGCAACAAGCAGACGTGAAAATTTAATAATACAATCCTTTGAGAAGTAATATAAATTGTAAATACAAACCTAAGCACCTAAGATAACCTCCAGCAAAGCAAAAATGCAGAACATTACTGCAGAAATCATCAGTAATGCAGGTTGATATTCCCAATTGGCGGGCAAAGGCAACTACTGCCCTCTTTTCATTTTAAATTATTCATTCTCAGTTCTCGAAAAGAAGCATAACAATTTTTTTCTCTCATCACCTTTTTCTTTTAGGCGTATATGTATTACAAGTTAATAATACCTCCCCCAAAACCAGTCAAGGAAAATAACTTGCATATGAAACACTATCGACAAGTTCGAGGCAGATTTTACTTGGTAAATAAAAAGATCATATACTGGATAATACACACAGCGCCGGTAAGGGAGCGTGGGCTTCTGCTGCGAGGAGTTATATGTGCGGCGGTTCTCATTTATTAATTAATTCTAAGGCGCAACACGCACTCGAAACAAAATTGAGTTCGATCAATAACACACCGCGAACAAAAGACTTCTGTGACAATTACAACCCATGCTAGAGTCATCGCGCTTCAAATCACATCTCCCTCTGCACATCTCCCTCTGTCGGAAAAGATATGTAATCTAGATCCCTCTTACCACCTCGTGAGATTTACAGAGCAAAGTGTGAAATTGCTCGCTGGCATCCACCTTAACTCCTCATATCAGCCTGGTTCGGCGAAGCGCGTGTATCCATTTCGAAAAGAAAAATCCTGGTACCGAAATGAAAACTGAGGAATACTGTTTGCCGATGGTAGCTGGATCTGGTATCGGTTAAATATTGCCTATAAATTACGAAAATCTACCTATCTATATCGTATGGGCAACTAATCGGTATACTGGACGCTCGAATTTATGTAGTTCACGCAAAACAAACACGCAAACAACTAGTCTCTCTGAAAGTTGATTTTTTGGTGAATGAGTCATAAAACAGACGTCGTTTTCAAAATTTACAAACGATGAAAAACGATGATGGTCAAACCAGTTATTCCACTGGGCATAGGGGTAATGTTGACTGAAATTCCACTGACCTGTTCACCTCCATGTCGGCGCTGGGGCTTGTTCCTCTTAATTTTCCGCTGATGGCCCCCGCCGTCATCGAATACGAACTTAATTTTCCGTTCGGGCATGTTTTGCAGTGGAGATCCACCAAAAACGTAAAGGATCCCAAAGATAGCTCTACCAGTTTTGTCGCGTCGGCCCGAGTCGCTCCTGTAATATTCCTGGTCAACGCGCTCGGAGGTCACACCAAGCTTGATATGAGCAGAGATGGAATATGTACCAAACTGCAGCCATGATCGTCTGAGATTTATGAGAGTGTGAGTAAACGGAGCCTCAGGGTCGGATCACAGGAGCAAAACTAAAGTGCCTGGAACAAGAGATCCATATTAGAAACTGGGTGGCCCGGGCGCGCACACAGGAAGAGGAAAAATAGAGAGAAAGAAAGAGAATGATATTGGCTTAAACTACAGTAGCCGGGAGGCTGTTGATTATGCAAGCAGCGCAATGAGGTCTTGTGAGGACATTAGACGGTGCCGATACAGCTGGCAGGGTCCCCCGCATGGGAACCATCGATCCGTTCGGTGACTCCCACTTTCAAGTCTCTTCCGATCCGCCCGCTTCGCACTGCCGTACCCCGGTCGGCTATGAGCATTCACCGTGCCGAGTCTGGGTTATCATAACCAGTGTGCATGCACAACCGGCGTCGTACTCCGTGTGGCGTACGAAAAGTGGTGCAACGAAGCGACTGTGCACCCGGCCGGCGCACCACCTGCGGATTGGGACTTCAAACCTAGTTCATCAGTTATCGTCGGTAGAAAGGAACCTTGAGTGCTTTATCACGCCAACTGCTGAGTGTTTATTCATGCTTCAGTGGAAACTATTGGCTCAGATGTCTCGGGCTGCATAAGCATTCTGGAAGACCTATCTACCTCACCATGAGGGTTTCCACAAAGGGGAGACGCACTTCTACCCCTTATGGCCTTTTTCTCTTCATGTCACGCACAAACTTCCATACCAGGGACAGACATTCACTCGGAAACGCAAAGGGGACTTTTAATTTGGAATATCACCATGGTAGCCTGGCGACCAGAATTTCTGTGATTCGTCAACAGACGTTTCGCGCTCCTTTCGTCCTGCGTGGGCAGTGACTGTCTCTCTTCAAGCAGATGGGCCCGACTGGACCGGATTCTAATTATGATGTACATCGCGTCATGCCTTGATTAAATATGTGTCAGTCGAAAGTACACTTCATGTGAACAAACCGGCTTCACGGAAAAGATGTTTTGAAAAATGTTGTTGGACATTTTGTTTCATTAATATGTTACGTTAAAAACTATTCCATTTGTGCCTGTCATAACATTTACGTAGGCTATTTATGAGGTTTAAAGATACTCTGCCAGAGGATATCAAATGATTGTTGAGACAAATCCTTGACCTTAATTATTGTGATAAACGACATCAGCACACTTCAGTTGGATTTATCCCCACGTAACGCACACCCATCCGTTGCTAATTTTGTTTGACTCACAGGAGAAGCAATCGAACCATTTGATATCAACATTTCGGGACATGATCAATAAATTGATTTTTATACATGTACTAGGAACAGTTTGGCGCTTTGAAACATTGTGGAAAGCGCATTATAGATGTTGTAAGTTATAGTTGTAGTTATGGTTATAGTTGTCGTTGTAGTTAGTAGTTATGTCTACATTGATCACACCCCTGATCTGTGGATTCTGGTGTAATATGACAATGTTCTCTAAGCTCTAAATATAAAACCTGGCGGGGATCGATAAAGATGTTGAAATTGGGGCAAAGTCTCAGCACGGGTTTAGGGCCCTCTAAAGCCTCCCCTAAATTTATTTTTTTTAAATCTTTTATTTCAGGTCTTGTATATCTCCAGGCAACTATGTAAGAGGTAGTTTTTTTTATTCATAAAAATAAAAGCAGTTTTACACATCATAAGCTGCTTTAACATTTATAAGCTTTGTGGCGTCTGAACTTTTCTACGTGAGAGACAAGCAAAACGTATCCATGTTGGAAAGCAGGGTGTGATAGTTTAACTTCCCTAACTAGATTCCCATCAGCGTGTGCGCCATGCGCGTTTCTTTCCATGAGTCCATTTCTCGTAGAGTCTAAATTTCGCGCAACATCGGATCACGTTTTCAGAATGAACGTAAAAACTAAGTAGTTTCAACGGATTGGCCGCATAATCATTGCAAGAACACGTGTCATTTTAATTTTAATTACGGGTTTTGCCAACACATAATGGTCCCCAGTGCGCAGTCGTGCAAAATTAATGGACACTGTGTTATTTGAAAGCTTTGTTTCTGTACAAATCGTCCCAACTACTGTTTCCAGGATCGAATTGGTGACATACATCTGCTTGGCCTTGGTTTTGTGTTCTTTGTGTGTCGTTCACCAGCGTAAATGGGATACTGCTGATGTACATAAAATGGAACAGATCAATTCTAATTGTATTTCCCCTGAGTTTGAACTAAGCACGTGGAATGGATTAGTCGAAGTTTGAGTAATCTTAGAAACTGACAAGACAGTGTTTGTAAATGCTCACTGATTAAGACCACGCCCTAACTGATCACATTTTCCCTGCCCATAATCATTGAGTCGAGGTGAAATGAATGAGCTGCAATAACATACCGAGGATGCATCCCGCTCCCCCCCCCCACCGATCTTGTCTCATCTGCACTACTGGACGTCCCTGCTCCGCGCTGTATGGCGCGACACGCAAGTGTTGTCAACGGCACAGCAGCAAGCGGGCGGGCGTCACTCAGCGGTGTCTAGGGGGGTCGTGTGATTTGACGTGTTTTAAGCCCGCAGCCACTCACCAACAGCCACTCATGAAATCATCAGCTGGAGTGACGACTCGAGGCAGCGTCTGAATGCAAGTGTAACATTTCCCGCTTTCAATTAGTCGCTCTTTTCGAATGGTCATCAATTAGTCGGGATCTAGTCCTCCAACTATGGTAGCGGAATATACAAGTAATATTAAAGTACTTGAGGCCATAAATCTGGTTTATATCAAGTTATCAGCTGAGCAATATCTAGTAAATACAAGATAATCAATCCTCCCTAACGGTTTGGACAGACGCAAAAGTCTTGTAAATTGCGAGAAGTGCAAAATGAATGCTCAGCGAGAGAAGATGACTATGTTGTTTTGGTATTCCGAGCATCGATTTCCATCATGCAAAGCCTAAAGTCATTCAGAGAAAAGGCCTACTTTCAGAAAATGGAGCCAACGACAAATGACCCAATTCAGACTCAGTTTCAAGTACGCTATCCCCGGATAACGGTACAGCCGATTCCTCATCAACCAGACCTTTTTCATTCCCCTCTCAATATTCTTCTAAATGTGTTGTCTACGGGGGCTCTTCGGAGGGAAATCTAACCTGGGTCCATGGCGTTCTGGCACCACGATTCCTCCGGGCAATTATCTTATGAATACTTGAACACAAAGAATTCTGATATTAAGGAGCAGTACAACTTAACCCCAATATTATTCCAACTTAATACATCCAAATCCCGCCAAACGGAACCCAACACCCATGAATTCGTACCCTTCATGGTATGTTTTAGGAACAATTGGGGAGAGTTTTGCAGAGGGGGGTCCGCTAAGCTTGTCCGTCAACGGAAACAAGCTATACTGAGGCACTCCGACGGTGGACATTGTCTGCGACTATGCCCGACAGACGAATTGAGTGATTTAGTACCACGGGTTGAGATGTTGGTTGGAACAGACAAGTAATGTGATCTTCCCTGACCAGCACTGTACTTGCTGAATGAGGACATCTTACTTGACCTATGGGTTCAATTATGTTAGTGATATCGCGTACATGTTTCATCTGAGCACTGATTGGAGCCTAGTGCTTGCTTTTCACCCATGTCTTCCGGCAAAAAAAGGTCACTTTTTGGTCACATCAGTTGCATATAAAGCGGTACAACTTCATCTGTTAATGATAACGAGCGCATGCAATCTAAAATATATAGGAATCTTTATTTCAAAAATACACAATTAATAACATGGACCCATTAAGGACATGGTCATTACATATCAGCACCCGTATTTTGACCAAAAAATGGAATTCCTCAAAAGTCGGTATAATAACAGCGCCCTCAAGAGTTTCTCAACTTTGCGCCCTGTCGATGTCTATGATGAGCACGACTATTACAGGATTTTAGATGCGTAACTACTCGCAATGTCAGTCGTATATCACCGGCATAATGCACAGAAAGTGCGGGAATGGGTGATGGAAAAAAAAAACTCCGCAAAGACGACACAACCATACTACGACTAGGGTTTCTCCGGAATACAAACCCGTTTTCCGACCGCCTCGGTATTAGCACGGTATTAGGGATTACCACAGGAATTTCATTTTAAACACTTGGAAAAAAAAATTAACTGTGACTTGCATTCATTTGAATAGGCCTAACCCCGCAGTTATATGAAGACCGAAACCTACTGAAGTTTGAATTTATTGTTTGCCGTGTTATGAATACCAACAGCCGTATGAATTGCTGAGCAAACACACTGTGATCAACTAGGGCAGAAAAATAGCCTATCGTTGGTCAAATCCAAAGAAACGCGGGACCTTGAGGCACGCTGGCTTAATTAAAAGCGAGCGCGCGTCTACCGCTATGGCTGTTTACTCATCGGACAATTAATATGCAGTATCGTTGGATTTCCGATTGCTACTGCAAAATAAACATACCAAGCACTGCCCACTCTTGCGTTGAGATGGCAGAGCACAGTCAAGATACCTCCTGCATAGAAACACGATGGCTGCCAAGGCCAAGGGATTTGCAAGGCGTAAGACAGAGATATTAATAGCAAAATCATTGGTTCGAAACTTCACGGAAAAGCCCATTCCATCACCACGAGCTCATTAGATCCTTAGAGAGTAAAGAGTTCCTATATATAATTTTTGACCATGTTGTTTCAATTTTCAAGTTGATAAAGAATTGTGATTCCATGCACACGGATTGGTTTTGCCGTCCAGCCATTCACTGCAGGACTCGCTTCAACAGCAACAGTAACTGGGTAGATATTCAACCAATCACAAGCAATTTGCACACTTGTCACTTTTTAGAACAAGCTCAATTCGCTGGTTTTTCCTCCGATCTCCTCCCGGAGGAAAAAAACACACTCACAGTGTCCACTAGATAGAGACCGGCCGGGCAGGTCAAATTAGGCCACAAAGCCCTGGGTATATGTGAAGATACCATGGTGAGGTCTCTTGAGTTCACTGATCACAGCGAAGCAGGTCCTACGTAATGTTAGACTAAGATCATCAGGACGTAGCTTACCTGAAAGAGAACAGTACCTATGATTTGAGCGACAATCCAGCACAGTTTACCTTAAGCACGCAGTGTGGGCACTTGCCCAAAATAATGGCAGCTGCCAGAGAAGCTTATTGCTTCTTTGTTATTCAGGCAAGTCTCAACAATATTTCAAATAGGGTTTCATACAAATACTTGGCACCTCTAGACACCTGACCCGGACTGTGATTTAATTTTCTACAAAAGACACATTCACGTAGGCAGACCTAATCTTATTGCTGATTCGGAAGTAAAATTGGATAAATCTCGAGAGCGAACCTCCGGTAGAACCATCAAATGAGGCTAGCAAGAACATTTACATAAAGCTTTCACAGACGGAATTTTTAAAATCGACTTCCCTATTTCAGAACAGTTAGAATCGCTCCAAGCCGAACAAGACAGCGTTTATTTAGCGGGCGTCCTTTAGTCCACAAGACCGGCGCTGGAGCGTGGCAACTGCTACCTTCTCGCAGGGGGCGCTCTGAGCAGCAATCGATACTCCTCCACGCCATATTGGTCGAGTTCGGGCGGCCTGTTCTTGACACGAGTTTCGTGTTCTCGCGCTCGAACGGCGGGAACACGACCCAAGAACACTGTTCTCGGAACAGATTCACACACCATGTCCTCGTCAGGGTTTTACACAAACACACAGAAAAACTCGTGAGATTTGATTTTTGAAAA